AATCAAAAGTCTGAATGCAGAAAGAGCCAAGGGTATTTCACTTTTAAGAGGTCGTATTTAGCCGATGGCTCATAAAATTTTGGTTCGGTAGCTCTGGAGGTACCGTAATCGAGCAAGCAAACAATTCAGATCCGTGTTTGTGTTATTATTGTCGAAGACGAAGTGAAAAGCCGGATTTTCTGCTACTGTGCAAATCTTTAGCGGATTTGCGTCTATTTAGATCGCGCAGAGTGCGATTGACGCAGCTCCCATTGATTTGCTGGCTTACCGCTGTCTATCGCTACTATGTCTGAGCTGTATCCAGGCGACTCCTTACGTTGACGAAAGCATAACACAAAGCAAACCATCAAGCCTTGGGCTGATGTCATCCGCTGGTACGGGTGTGATTTCGACCGGCATTGGTGGTATAGAATGAGGTGGAAGAGTTGCTGGCGGTGCAGCCATTGCGTTTGTTTCTAATTGTGCATTTGCGCCAGAGACTGCTTCGATCAGCACCAGGAGAGTGGACGATCTGAGGAAGCACGATGCCGGAGATGCCACCATTCCTGAATGGCGCTTGCTGAGGGCGCGGTGTAGAAGGACGGTTCAGTTTAACACTTCAAAACCTTCTTGCAAGGCGTTAAGCTATCAAAATGAACAAAAATTCAACAGGGGCTCTAACACATGAAAAATAAAAACGATTTCTCTCAAGTGTCCACGCGTGGCCGAAAAGGATTGGCGCAGCAAGAGATGGCGAGCTGTCCTGAACAGCCTGTTGCCGCATGGGTATTTATAGTTTTTGGATTGCTGTGAAACATGGATTCGCACGCCGCAGCTAGTCATGAAACGTGAAATAATTGGAAGGCACAGCCTGTTGTCTGGAGCGATATAATGGCTTGCAAGGAATGTCGCATCGAGCAGGTTGTTAATGGAGCAGAATTTTCTCATCCAAACGACCGGTGCTTCGCGGCACACGCTCCAGCGCATGGTGACACACTTTTTCGAAGTGGCAGATGATTTTTGGATCATCCTGTCTATCTACCAATGAGCTACACTGTTTGTCTGAAAGAAAATGAAGCAAAAGTATCCCAAAGAGACAGCAGCCACCTCGCGCTAGTTGTGAGCCGGCATTCAACCTCATTGCTTCTCAGTGTCACCACTGCTGTTCGAATGAATGCCGTGAAACTTGGCCCTTCAAGTGGTGCTTTTGATGAAAAATAACTTCGGCTGCAATGGGACTTTCTAACTCAGAGTCCAGTTTGTGGATTCACCAGTTGGACAAATGACAGTGCACTCCAAAGGATACTGGCATTACGGGGCGCTGTTATGCAACCTGGCTTTTAAATGCACTACTAATTAGTTTGTTGTCTTTAATTGATCCTAAGTATAACCCAGGCTAGAACGCACCAGGCGGGCCGGTGCGATTATGCGTTTTTGCACTTTTCGTGTCGTAGCAAGATCGCAAGGAATCACAGTAGCTAACCTGTGACATACTGGCCCTCGAAGTTCGGGAAGTTAATTGTGCAAATATGTGGTATGTCACTTGGAGGTGTCAACTTCAGTGACCCGACAAATGGAAAGTTGCTAGTCCGCAAAAAAGGCCACACTAGAAGAGTTAAATATGAAATCTTTAAGTCGCAAATGAATAGGAAATATTCCCTTAAAATTAAAGCCTTCAGCTTTCCCCTTTCCTGAGTTAGCAGTTTTCCCATCAAAATTTTCACGTGTCCGCATGTGACGACTTTAAGGAGCTGAATTTAAAATCTTTTGGCCACATATGAGTAGGGAACATTACCCTAAAGTCTCGGCTTTCTAGCTTTTCCCGTTCCTGGGTTAGTAATTTTTGCGCCAAAATTTCCACGCGCTCGTATGTGGGCACGGGCGCTTCTAAACACCTGATTTTGATCGTACATGAGTAGGGGACATTCCCCGAAAGTTTCAGCTTTCTAGCTTTCCCCGTTCCCGAGTTAATAATTTTCGCGCCAAGATTTTCACATGCCCATACGTGGGCTTGGGCGCTTCTAAACACTTGATTTTGCTCGTACATAAATGGGGAACATTACCCGAAAGTTTCAGCTTTCTAGCTTTCCCCGTTCCCGAGTTAGTAATTTTCGCGCCAAAATTGTTACATGCCCACACATGGGCTTGGGCGCTTCTAAACACTTGATTTCGCTCGTACATAAGTAGGGAACATTCCCAGAAAGTTTTAGCTTTCTAGCTTTCCCGGTTCTCGGGTTAGTGATTTTCGCGCCAAAATTTTCATGTGCCCGTACGTTAGTCCCTGGCGGTCCTGAGGAGCTGAGTTTGAAAACTTTTGGTAGTGCATGAGTATGGAACATTTTCTCAAAGTTTCAACTTTCCAGCTTTTCTCATTTTCGAGTTATGAATTTTCTCGTCACAATTTTCACGTGTCCGTGCGCAAGCCTCGAGCGCTCCTGGGCAGCTGAATTTGAAATCTTTTTGGCATACATGGTTGGGGAACATTCTCTCAAGGCCTCAGCTTTCTAGCTTTTCTCGTTCCCGAGTTCGCGATTTTCGCGCCAAGACTTTCACGTGCTCGTACGCGTGGCCCAGACGTGCGTGAGGGTTGGAACCGCGGTCCTGGCTGGGGAACACACTGGCAAAATTTCAGCTTCAAAGCTTGCGCAGTTAGCGAGTTGAAATAC